GAGTGTGCTATGCGGCTAAGCGGACTCAAACTGAGGTGTTTTTTAGGCTTGTGATACCCGGGAGGAGGACAGGACTACAAGGATATCAAAGGGTGTTGTTATGTTTGTCGGTTTGTGGACTCGATCCGAGGTTCTGATTTTTTTTTGTTTTTAATGTTTTGGAGTTTGTACTTTGGCGTGGTGTGCAGACATGAACTCGGGACCTTGGTTTCGGGACTTGAAAGGATTTTGGTACTGGCAACTAGGACGGGCGGCTGGACTGTGATGACGTTCAGCGGAGCGGGGATAAAGAGTATGAATGGTAGTCGATAATCCTCTTCGTCGTACGGGACTGGCCCGGGGGAAGGAGTTGGTTCGTGGTGGCGAGCAAAAGTTTGGCAGGATCCGAGGCCTGGGGATTGCCGACTTAGGATTTTGGTACTGGCAACTAGGATGGGCTGCGAGACTGTGAAGATGGTCAGCGGAGCGGGGATAAAGAGTATGAATGCTAGTAAAAAATCCTCTTCGTCCTACGGGACTGACCCAGGGGATGGAGTAGATTGGTGGTGCCGAGCATAAGATCGGCAGGATCCGAGGCCTGGGGATTGCCGATTGGCGGTCGGGTTGACACGTCATCATTGGACTTGCTTACACGATGTTTGCTGCGCATGTGTTTCCACATTTGTTGCGAACTCTTTTTAGAAGTGATGATGGTACACGACAGCTTGTTTTTACTCAGTCGACTGCGTCGAGTTGCTGTGCAATGCATTTGCTCATTCTCCAGGTAACACACAGTTCTTGTTGTTTTCCTGCTTGGTTTGGTGATGACCACAGATTTTGGGCAGTTTTGATTAGGGCTTCTGATAGGTGAGAGTAGAGGTCGAGGCAGGCTGACTGTGTGATCAACCTGTGGCTGAAGGATGGCATTATTATACAGCCCAGCTATCCGAGATGTGGACATATATCCCAATCAAGTTGATGAGTGGTAATGTAATGCCTGAGTAGCTTCTGCACTTGTCTGTTCATCTGTTCAGCTTGGCCGCTGACCTCAGACATATTCCCGCTTCAGGTTGATTCCCTGAAGTAGAGGTAATGCTATTTCTTGAGATCATCAGCCATCGTCGATACTTGTACTGGTGATCCAGGGAATTCAAGGGTGTGATATGATAAGGGAGAGTTAAAACGTCCATCTGGAGGCCAAAAAGGAGTGGGGCAAGGGGGATGGGGTGGGGGTGCACCTCGCCCGAGGGACCTGGTGAGTTTAAACTGTGTGAGAAAATCATGTGATTTTCACCATGATCTTTCCTATTGGAGAGGAGTGCGGAACTTTTTTTACCCAGGTGCAAAAGCTAGAACCACAGTTCGTCTTCTCTATGGTAACTTTTTTTGCCCAGGTGCAAAAGCCAGAACCAAAGTTCATCTTCTCTGAGGTAAATTTTTTTACCCCGGTGCAAAAGCTAGAACCAAAGTTAGTCTTCTCTAAGTTATTCAATATGAAGTCCCATATTGACTGTGTCATAGGCTTTGTCTAGATCTAGTAATACGAGGGCCAAGATTTCTGGTTGTTTATTGTCAATTGTTTTCAAGGTAAGTCTTACGTGCGGAAGTTAAAACCAAAGTTAACCTTCTTTAAGGTAGTCGATACAAAGTCCCAATTGACTCTGTCATAGGCATTTTCGATATCTGGTAATAAGAGGGCCACAATTTCTGGCTGTTCATCATAAATTGTTTCCCAGGCATCCATAATTGACTCAGGACATGCTCACACTAGGACTTTTCTGTCGACCCCATTGCGGTCAGATTCATCCAGGCTTGGCCTTGATTGGGTTCCGAAAATTTCGGAAACCAGCTGGTGTGACCTGAGGCGTAGTGGAAAGGGAAAAAGGGGGGAAAGTGCTGGGCAGGGTCTAAAATACCAGGTAGATTCAGGGACAAAAGAGGAACATGCTGGGGGCCTGGGGAGATCTGACCGTCCAGAAATGAAAGGTCAGATAGAGAGGTCACCTTGGGGAAGGAAAAGAGAATGTATTAAGTCGAGGACAAGGGTCAGGTGCAGAGGAAAGGTAGAAGGGAGGAGAGAACAGTCCGTTGGGAAACACTCGCGCACACGCACAAGGAGGCAGTTATTGATAACTGTCTCTTGGCTTCTTGGGGCGCGCATGTGCACGTGCCATCTGGGAGAGTGTAGGGCGTGACAGGAAGTAGAAGGTGGGAGGAGAGGATTGGCGGTGGTCGACAAGGCAGAGGGGAGGGATAATTGGTAGAAAGTGCCCGTGCCACAACCTTTTTGGTTTTTGGCGCCCGAAACGCGGCCGTTCGGTACTACCGACCCAAACGTCTTCAGCCTGGGTGAAAGGCGCCTTCGCGCCGTGGCCACATCTCCCTGGGCGTGCTTTTACCGGTTCAAGAATTTGGTGCTGTTTTTGCGCCAGATTCATGAACCGGTAGGGCCCTTCTTTTTCAAAATACCGTACGTGGGCCTCATTCTATACTTCAGTGGTACCACCCTCGGCCTCTTTTACATCAAAATGAATCTGGCGCTGTCTGGCGCTGTTATGCGCCAGATTCATGATCCGGTAGTACCCTTGGAGCGACGCGTGGGCCTGTAGCACCCCACATGGAAGTCATTGGGCCAGTAGTACCAAATGGTCGAGTTTTGGGCGCCCAAAACCGAATAGATCGGAGCCAGCAGGCAGCAGCTGGTCGCTTTCCGAGCAGGAGAGGGAGAAAAGGAAGAGAGGGAAGAAGGAGGGAGATTGCACGGAGGGGAGTAGATCGGGAAAGAGACGGGGCCGGATCAGACGGTCGGGAGGAGGAGAGAAGAGAGCAGGAGAGGGGAGAGGAGTGGGGACTAACAGGACAGCACCTGGTCGGGCTGGCAACTGTTCGGAGCCCGACGAGAGGATGTAAAGGGACGAAAGGGAGAGAGAAGGGGATCCGCCGGGGAAGGCTCAAGGAGGTGCAAGGGTGCACCTGCGAAAGCGCTCAAGGAGCAGCGTACTAGAGCTCGATTGCGCTCGACTTCGGGGGTTGTTGGACTAGTGCATGGTGTGCATGTAGCAGTAACACACGATGTGCACGAGCGTGAGGGGATGTAGGGAGGTGGGCAGAAGTGTACGAGAGAATGGGCACAAGTGATAGCGGACGAGAGGAAAAGACAGGAGCTCAGGGGCCGGGTGATAACCAAGATACGGAAGAAGAAGCACACAAGGAGACAACATGCGAGGGGAGGGGAAGAACATGGTGTCCACCTATGAGGAGCGCATGAGAAAGCGCTCGACTACACATGAGAAGTGCGTAGTTGACTACGCACGGAGGAGTGCACGAGGAAGGGAGAGTCTAGAAGAGAGGAGCAGGATAGCGCACATAGGAGCGCTCACAAGGAGGACTGCACAACGGGGGAGGAGCACGACAGCGAACACAAAGAGCACGGGGGATTCCAGGGTGAAGAACTTCGTACCCGCTTGCTGCGGCTGTACAAAGGCTACCGCGCTGTCCCTCGGTCTTCTAGTTCGGCTGCTCGCCACATACATTGCTCGGTTTTGGGTAGAGGTGCATGCGGAATGAGGCTGATCTTCTCCCTGCACAAGAGAAAGAGAGAGAGAGAGAGAGAGAGAGAGAGAGAGAGAGAGAGAGAGAGAGAGAGAGAGAGAGAGAGAGAGAGAGAGAGAGAGAGAGAGAGAGAGCTTTTTCTTTGGCCGCAATTGTGGTAAGATGCATGCTGGTTGTGGACTGTTTTTCTGAGTGCAATAAGCTATCAGATACATCCCGGGGTAAATGCAGTGAGATCCGTTTAAGGTAGAACTAGCACGACTGCAGCAGAGAGAAAGAATGACCGGCCTGCAAAAGTTGACACGGTGGCGATCTCGAGACCCACTGGTGGATGGATAGGGTGTGTTATCTGAGATCGTGGGCAGGCCTTGTAGGAGTTGTGGTCTGCAGTTGGGGAGTGTGTGCAGCGTGAGCTGTCTGAACTTGCCCTTGTGTGTAGCACTTCTGCCACTGCGCAACTTTGTCAAACTCCCGTTCGGAGTGAGTTCTTTCTGTGTAAAACTGTGCAATACATTTTCTTTATTTGCTGTGCGCTTGCCCCCTTTTCTGAAAACTGCGAAAAGTGAGTGGATTGTGTGCAATTCAGAACTTGGCATCGAAAAAAAAAAAAAGGCGGGTGGGGGAAGATACAATTCAAAACGGGGTCTGAAAGTTGGATGAATCACTTGTCGCAAAGAGCCTAGGGACAGAACACTCACAGTAGGTGCAAACAAGTGACAGCAGAGCTTGGGGCTAGAATCGGACCCGTGAGGTGTAACAGGGTAAAAAGGGGTGCATGATTTACCGTTAGTTAGCAGGGGCAGGACAGTACTAGGGGCACTGCTGGCGGATTGGGAAGTATGTGAGGGTTGTACAAGTCTGGTCTTAACAGCAGCCAAAGAAGGACGACCACGTAAGGCCGTTGGTGGAAGCCCCCCTCGCCGACACCGTGTTCAGTCAGTCATGGTGTCAAAATCCTCCGTACATGCTGATTTGTGCTAAGGCATCCTCCTACATGGCATGCACAGGCGTGCCCAAGATAAGATAAGATAAGACTCTTTGTGAAAATAAGGCGGATGGAGGAAGGGAAAAAGAAAAAAGCCAGTTCTTGGTATTGGGGGGGGGTTGGTGGGTTGAGAGAGAGAGAGAGAGAGAGAGAGAGAGAGAGAGAGAGAGAGAGAGAGAGAGAGAGAGAGATTTCAGAGGAGGGAAGGAGGGAAGCAGGTTCCGTCTTGCTATAGCTTGGACACTTTGGGCCTGATGTAAAAATGTTTGCTGTTGTTAGCGGATAAAAGAAGGAAAATAACTTTTAATAAGCCTCGTCACTTGGGTGCCGAGTATGTGGCATCATTTTCCTGTCTTCTGCATCAGCAATTGGTTGTTCACCGTAGACTGTGTTTGTGGGCGTAGCCAGAGTTCCCTTTGCTTGCACGATTCAAGATTTTCAAGTCGATTTGACCCACTTCGGTTTGCCAAATTGTTTGCTCCAGCGGCCTGTTGTCATTGTTTGATAGATTTAGAATCTTCAAGAATATTACTGAGCAGGTTATCGCCAGCATGCAGCGCTTGGAGGTTATGTATTGTGAAGTATGTGGACTTCCTCCGGAATACTGTGAGTTTGGTCCTGACTTTGTGAAGTGCAAACCCTGGCTCCTGGAGAACTGTCCTGATCTGTATCCGGACCTTGCAAAAGAGGCTGAAGAGAAATTGGGAAGATTGAGTCTGTCTGCGGCGGAAGGAGGTGGTGGTAGCGGCGAGGCCGATGGCGGGACGAAGGAGGATCCGGCGGGCACTAGCGCCAGGCAGAAGGAGCCGGAGCCGGAGCAGGTGCAAAGACTCCCTGGGGGCAAGGTCAAGAAGAAGGAGCGGCCCTCTGTAGTCATCGAGAAAATCGTACGGAACAAGCGTAAGTCAGTGACGGTCGTTAAAGGGCTGGAGATGTTCGGAGTGAAGTTGAGCGATGCGGCAAAGAAGTTTGGGAAGAAGTTTGCAAGCGGTGCATCCGTCGTCAAAGGCCCCACCGACAAGGAGCAGATCGACGTCCAGGGCGACATCATGTACGATCTCGTCGACTTCATCACGGCGACCTGGGACTCTGTGCCAGAGGAGTGCATCTACTTTATAGAAGATGGGAAGAAAGTGCGGGCTGCTTGATAGTTTGTGCAACAACTCGGTCGATGGACCAATTTAGTGTGGATCCTCTTAACCTGAATTTGTGTTGCTGTCATTGTGAATTAGCCGGATTTTGTGTTTGTGTTGGTGTCATCGCCAAAGATTGATGACAATGTAGTGTGCGTCGCTCGTGGCATTCAATTACTGACAAAGAAGAGTATCGGTGAGTTAGTGGATTGTAGTTGTTGCTTAAAAAAAGGCTTGGTTCTTTTTTCGTTCCTCGTTTCATTTCGTACGAATTGTTGGGAAATAAAGCCATCCTCCGCGTCAATCCAATTTTATTTTTCCGCCTTCTGGATATTGTTCATTCTGGGATGTTGATGAGCAAGCAGATTGTCGACCCCCTTGTTCTTCTCCGCCCCCTTACCCCTCCGTTGACCTCCCCCCTGTTAATCTCCACCCTTCACCTCCCCTCCCTTACCTCTACCTCCCGCTTACCCCTTCCTCCTCCTTACCCCTCCCTCCTCGAACCCAGGTGGGATAGGTACACACAGAGTCAAAACACTTAATAGAAAGTAGTTCAACGAATGGAATTGAATAATAGAAATAATTAACAAATAGGAGTAGGCGTCCCTGACGCCCCGTTTCAACGTCAGCCATGCCGTCATCATCAGGGGGCTTACCACCCCTTCTAACCCGTACAAACCATACAGTCCACGGACCTGCTTCTGAACCCAGCCCTCGATATGATGTGTCCAACCATGGATGCAAGTCCATAACTGGATGGAATACGAGTCATCATAGAAGAGTGGAGGGGAGAGAGATAGAGGTGCAAGGAAAATGAGCGAGAGCGATAGACTGCAAACCAAATTGCAATAGCACGATGTAGTCCAGATAGTCGTGTACCAATCAGAAAGCACAACGCACCAAGAAACCAGCCAAATAAGAGCAGTGCAGTGAACTCAAATTTCAACTCTCTCGCCACATCAGCATCCCTACAATCATAGAAATCGCTATTTGGCACGCAACATTTGGCCGATCCGGGCCGCCCGCGGTCTAGCGGCCAACGGCCCGGATTTCCGCGCGATCTCAAGACTTTTAAGACTTTAAGACGAAGATCGCGCGGCGATCCAGACCGTTTGCTAAGATCGCGCGGCGATCCAGACCGTTCGCTTTGCCGGACGGCCTGGATCGTCACGTGATCTTAAGATCGTGGGGAAATCTGGACCATCTGCTTTGCCGGACGGCGTGGATCGTCACGCGGTCTTAAAGTCTTAAGATCGCGCGGAAATCTGGACTGTCGGGCCGGTAGGATCACGGGCGGCCCGGATTGGCGCGCCCATTGGAAACAGGGCCCATTGCAGACGGCCTGGGTCGTCGCGCGATCTTAAAGTCTTAAGATCGTGGGGAAATCTGGACCATCTGCTTTGCCGGACGGCCTGGATTGCCACACGGTCTTAAAATCTTAAGATCACGTGGAAATCTGGACCGTCGGGCCGGTAGGATCACGGGCGGCCCGGATTGGCGCGCCCGTTGGAAACAGGGCCCATTGCAGGGCGGCGCTGTGGCTCGTCGCAGGGCGGTGCTTTCCTTGCACTGAAGTCCAACGGTCCCTCCCGCCTGCCCACCTCGACTCCGCCACTGGCTCCCACCTTCTGCCTCCACCCACCTCCCTTCCGCCTTCTCCAGCCATCTTCCCTCCACCACAGCCCACCATCTCCTCTCGGCCTCCGCCCACCATCTCCTCTCCGCCTCCGCCCACCTCTTCTTCGCCCGGCGCCCACCTCGCCTCCACCTCCGCCCACCTCGGCCCACCTCGGCCCACCTCGGCCCACCTCTGCCCACCTCCCCTTCGCCTCCCCCTGCCATCTCCTCTCCGCCTTCGCCCACCTCCCCTCCGCCACCGCCCACCATCTCCTCCCTGCCTCCACCCACCTCTTCTCAGCTCGGGGGCCACCTCTCCTGCGCCTCAGCCGGCCAGCCCCCTCCCTTCCGCCTCCCCCCACCCCTTGGGATTCCTCTCCCACTTCTCCCTCGGCATTCCCCCGCCAGTTCTCCTCCGCCTCCACTCCTTCGCTCACGCCTGCGCTCACCTCCGCCCACCTCACATCCGCCTCTGCCCACCTCACCTCCACCTCTGCCCTCCTCACATACGGCCTGCCCACCGTAGCGCTCTATCTCTCTCTGTCTCTCTCTGTCTCTCTCTCTCTCTCTCTCTCTGTGCCCCGCTCTCTCCCTCCCTCTCTCTCCCTCTCTCTCTCTCTCCCTCTCTCTCCCTCTCTCTCTCTCCCTCTCCCTCTCTCTCTCTCTCACAGTGCTTGGTACACCGTTCTTGGAACGTTGCCTACGTGACCTACTGACTTGCCTACGCCCACCTAGGCGACCTACCTACAGCCTACGCGACCCGTGCGACCTGCCTACGGCCTGCCTACCGTAACTCCCTCTCTCTCACTCTCTGGATCTCTCTCCATCTCTCTCCCTCTCCCTTTCTTTCTCTCAGTGCTTGGTACTACGCTCTTTGTACTTCGTGCTTGGTCGTGTTTGGTTCGTGCGACGGTGCGACTTTCGTGCTACTTGGTGCTTGGCCGTGTTTGGTTCGTGCATCGGTGCGACTTTCGTGCTACTTGGTGCTACTGGGTGCATTTGTGCTACTTCGTGCTACTCCGTGCCTGGTTCGTGCTACTCCGTGCTTGGTTCGTGCTACTCCATGCTTGGTTCGTGCTACTCCGTGCTTGGTTCGTGCTTGGTTCGTGCTACTCCTTGCTTGGTTCGTGCTTGGTTCATGCTTGGTTCGTGCTTGGTTCGTGCTTGGTTCGTGCTTGGTTCGTGCTTGGTTCATGCTTGGTTTGGTTTCGGTGCTACGTGCATCGGCGGTTGGTTCCTGGGATCGGTGCTTCGTGCTAAGTGCAACGGTGCTACGTGCATTGTGGAATCAGTGCTCAGTCTGGCGCAGTCGAGCCTTTTCTTATGGAGTTGTGTAAAGCGAACATGATGTCACACACACGCACGCAGCTGCATCTTCAGCAGACTGTCGGGGTTCGAATTCCGGTGAAACAGTCTGGACAGTCGTGCTTCCTTTTTTGGCATGCACAAAGGCACAAGAGAGAGAGAGAGAGAGAGAGAGAGAGAGAGAGAGAGAGAGACAGAGAGAGACAGAGAGAGACAGAGAGAGAGACAGAGAGAGACAGAGAGAGAGAGAGAGAGAGAGAGAGAGAGAGAGAGAGAGAGAGAGAGCACCCGACCATGACAACACTGACAGATGACGTATGATGAGGAAGATGAAAGATGAGGAGCATGAACATGATCCACGAGGACAAGGTAAGATAATAATTACATCAATCACATGTCGCAGCCATGCGGCTGGAAACACAAGCTGCTTCACGTGGGGAGGGTTAGGGGGGGGAGGGG